ACACACACATCACTGTTACAAAGATAGGATAAAGCCTTGATGAAGTCAGCCCCATAATTAGGATAACGTTCAACAACAAAAAACAGCAAAGAAATCAAACACAAGAGTTTCCCTGGAAACACCACAAAACTGCTCCTTTAAGCACCACAGGCAGATCATAGTGGGGTTTTTATCCAGCTGAAGAAAGCCTCTGTGCTTGCTTCAGATAGCTGTTCTGGCCTCCCTGAAATAACCTCCACAAGCACAGCGTGTCCAGGTGACAGCCTCTAAACTCACAAGACACAGGACCCTGCCATAGACACTAACAACAGCTTAATGGTACAAGCTGAAGCAGTTCGCACTGATATATATGGGTTTAGATGTATCTCCACTAGAGTCCAACAGGCTGAAGGGAAAGAATGGAAAGGCAATAAAAGCAGCACACGGGTTTTGCTGGGGGAAGCCCCCAGTGCACAACACCCATCCATCACTCACTGCTGGCCTCACTACTCGCTCAGCGCAGCCCTCACTGTTTGTTGCATTTGAATATCTCCGCAAGTACCTCTGAAATGGCAGAAGGCAGAGCCCATCCTCTCAGTCAAAGGGGAACCTGACCCTTCACAGGAGGCAAAATCGGTCTTGGGGTTCTTCTGTGAATGGACCGAAGACCCTTTTGAATGGCACTCATTAGTGCTGGGGCTGGCAGGAACTGTTTTATACCCCAGCTGATGAGCACCTGCACTGCTGCCAAGTCTGCTGATAAATAAAAAAGGATAGGAAAAGCCTGATGGCTTTTGAAAGAGGCAACAGAAACTCAGCGCTCAAGGCAGCAAACACCATTTGCAGTAACAAAGAGAGTTATGCTCAAGAGCAGCTCAGTGGTGGTGTTCAACCCAGTTTTCCTCTCCAACATCTGCTTTTAACAGCAGAGAAATCGATAGCACTAAAGGCAACTACGATCAAGCTGATGGGGAATGCTGCAAACTGTTCCAAACAGCTCTCCTCATTCACTCAGTTTATCACCAACAGCGCTCAGCTCTTCCAGCTCCAGGCATGCTCCCCTCCACCTCGGCTCTCCAAGTGGGAATGACGTTCATCAGAGGCAAGGCAGAAGACTAATTACAGTACACATTTCATCAGCAAAGGGACCCCAGGGAAAGGAGAGGAGAGGAGGGGGAATATAGCTCTTGGTTCTGTCACCTGAACAGCTTGTGTTTGTTAGTGTGGAAGTAAGCATGACACCAAACTGATGCCTATGGAGCGATTCACCCATTAACCTCACATCCGCCACAGTTCACACCCACCACCATTACTATGCACCATTAATATTTATAAGGGTGATGTGTCTCTGACAGGAACTTGTGCCTCCAACGACAACAGATGTTATACTGCTTATGAAAGAAACTACTCAAGCATCCCCAATGGACCTTGTCCATGCTCATCATGTCTTTATCCCATGCTCTGATTGTATTATCCATGGAGAGACTCGGTTAGCTACTACTGACTCAGGGCCAAGAACACGGATGGCAGCACACTTGCCTGTGGAGTCCTTAAAGCTTCTCAGAGTCATATTATGTCTTTGGGGATCATCTTCTAGTACCTGGAAACCTTTCAAATGCACCCGGTAGCTCTAACAGAAGCATTTAAGGCTTTCCTCAGCAGACTCCCCCATCTCGTAAGGATTTGCCACTTACCTGGGCCTCCAAAGCACACGCAAGCAGCTGAGGCTGCAGGGTGTTGCCTTTGCCACTGTCACCACAGCTGCATTACTGATCATACATGATCAATACAGAATTAAACCCTGCCATTATACGCTGCATTATACTGCTCCATGCATGGACTTGCAGCATCAGTGCAGCAAGGCACCAGTCCCATTACCTCTGCTAAAATTAAGCTGCTCCTTGGCTAAATTGTAATCTACACCAAGTGGGGGAGCACCAGCCTCTGGAAGGACAGAGCTCCCTGCTCTAGCAAGGGTTAAGCTCCCATCCTCCATTGAGGAGAAAGCAGTGCCCATACACCCCCCCATCAGCAGACAGCGGGGTGGGTTAAACTGGAAAGAATGAGACAGATAAGTCAAAGGGTTGGCCAAAATCTCCTTCAGGAACCACCATGTATGGGCAAGCACTGAGGTTTTAAACAAGGTATCTAAGGAACATTTTCTTTTTCGAGATCACAGTTGACATTTCCATTAAAATGCATGAGGTTACCATCACTCGCTTCACCTGATGAGGTGGAGCTTGTTTAAAGTAGCACCAAAATGTCACGTTATCCCTGTGGGCTAGAGCAGACAGACCTCATTGAGTCCCTCCTCCAGAACAGCAGCTCTAGTAATGCCCTCATGTTTATGGCACGTCCATTCTTCATCATGCCCAGCACAAACGGCTCCAGCATTTGTCAACACACTTTACCTGCAGCTTTCCACAGGAAACACAGAGAGAGACGCTGCAGAGTCCTGACACACCTGACCCATGCCTGAGGTGAATTCAGGAGCTTCTTTCCTAGGCTAACACTGCAGCAGCTCCAACCGAAGCTCGACCTGAAACACAACCAACACAAACGCAGTAGAGGCCTGACAGGTTTGGGGACTGCATCTGCAGCCACAGCAGTGCAATGTTTCTGCTCTAAATCAGCAGTTCACACCAGTGTGAAACACACTGTTTGAGCATCCCTGATTACACATGCTAGGAAAGGGCAAGATTTCTCTGCAGAGAGCAAGCTTCCACCTCTTGGAGCTCAGCTTTTGCTATGTGGTCACATACATTCAGTGTAACTGTACACTTTATAAACAGACATGTGTTTGTTCACATCTGCTGACCTTTCCTGCCTAGTTTTGTTTCAGAACAAAGCTGGCTCCTTCAGAATCATGACACCCATTACTTTGCTGTCATTTGCACCCGTACAATTGTCTTCCTCCTTCCCAATTAGGCTAACTATGAAGAAACTATATACAAAAAGCAATCACAGGTGAGTCTACTTGCTTAAAGACACAGCTGTTATGTACCTGGCTTGGCTTAAACAGCATTTCTGTTTAGTCAGTGTTAATGGTATTAATGGTATTAATGAAAAGGAAAAGCCAGTTTCCACACTGCATTACACGGAGCACTGGGTGCATCAGAAGTGGAAGGGCAGATTTAGTCACCCAGCCCCAGGTACATCCCTTTCTGCTCCTGCCTGGTGCAAGGAAATGTCAGCTACAGAGCAAACTCTGTCAAAATCCAAAAGTTGTTGCTTCTGATAAAAGGAAGAAACATAACAGAAGCACCTTTCTGAAAATAAAATCTCCCATCCATGGCGATCCAAGAAGCAGAGCAGCCTGAGCTGAGGTCTCCAGCCAAGAGATCCCATGTGCTGGCTTTACTATAGAACGCTTTAAAGGACCTTAAAGCTCATCCAGTTCCAACCCCTGCCACACCTTCCACTAGAGCAGGTTGCTCCAAGCCCCTGTGTCCAACCTGGCCCTGAACACTGCCAGGGATGGGGCAGCCACAGCTTCTCTGGGCACCCTGTGCCAGCGCCTCAGCATCCTCACAGGGAAGAATTTCTGCCTAATGTCTCATCTCAGTCTCCTCTCTGTCAGGTTAAAGCCTTTCCGGTTTCTCCTGTCCCTACAGGCCCTTGTCCAAAGCCCCTCTCCAGGTTTCTTGTAGCCCCTTTAGGCACTGGAGCTGCTCTAAGCAGCTTTAAGATCCTCTTCTCCAGGCTGAACTCTGGAGCTCTCTCAGCCTGTCTCTGTAGCTGAGGTTCTCCAGTGTAATCTCCCTGCTGTGCTCCTCTGCAGAAAGACATTGCTGGACATCTCTATCCCGCTTTGCTCTTTTATCCGACATAGATCAGCATATCGCACGCACAGCACTTTGGAGCTGAAAAGCAGCATTAAGTTATAGCTGGACTAAGGAGCTACCCCGACCTGTCCCAGCATACATGCCATTAGCCGCTGGACCACGCGGTACGAGTCAGACACCGACCGACACACACGGACCAATAAAGCAATAGGGATGGGGATCCCGGGCTCCCTGCACCGCTGCGGGTGCACCCAGACCCCTCCGCAAGGAAAACTTCAGCACCACCGAACCCAGGAGGTTTCCCGGGCTTTGGAACAGAGCATTAGAGCTGGAGCGAGAGGGGAGCTATGCCGGACACGTACAGCGAGGCTCAGCGAGCAGCCCCGCGCCGGCGATGCCGATTGAAGCGGGGGGAACGCGTCTCCCGTTTCCTCGGGCGGCAAAAATATGACCTGCATTAGAGAGGAGAATAAAGGGAAGGAAACAAAGGAGCGGGAGCCAACACCTGTCGCTCTCCTCGGGGATGAGCCCTAGCGCTTTTATGTGCCTCAGCCTGCTGCGGAACCGCAGCTGCCAACTGCCATCAGCATCAAGTTACCCGCACAAAGCTGCCTGCACTCCGCTTTCAGCCGCACGGGAGGCGGGGGGCTGCGAGCCGACGTGGGGCGGCACCGACCGCTCAGCCAGGGTGCTGCACGGCCCTGCCGCGGGCCCCGAAACGAGCTCCCAAACCGCACCCCGCCACTAGAGAAGCCTGCTATGCACTGGACGGGGACAGGACAAGACGACCGGACCCACCATCAGCTCAGGGCTCAATCCGGTCTCTCTCAGCCCCAAGCTGCTGCTGACACCCGGCCATCCCCACCTGCAGCCATAACCGCTGCCGGTAGCAAGGGGCACCGGCGGCTGCGGGCTGATGGGCGGACAGAAGCAGGCTCACGCCTCCCCCTGCTCTGAGCCTAAAAAATGGTGGAAAGCTGGGGTGTTGCGGGAGGAGGGAAGACGCTTCCATGCCCCAGCGCTTTGAGGAAGCTGCCCCATTGGAGAAGTAACGTCCCCTCCCCAGCGCCCTCGGGGGGCGAAGCGCAGCCGGACCCGACCCCATAGCGCCGGCGGGGCCCCTGCGGGTAGCGCGCACGGCGCCCCCCACCCCGGAGCAGACAAAGCGGCCGCCTGCCATTGGCCCGTTCAGCCCACGCTGCGGCAGCGGTAGCGCGGAGCGGCCAATGGGCGCGCTGAGCAGCAGCGCGCAGGCTATAAGTATGGCGGCGCGGTGGGGCGGGGAGCGCAGCGGGGCAGAGCATCTCGGGTGGGCCGTGCGGCGCCGCGCCATGGCGCCCTCGTTACGGCACGGCAAGGGCCGCCCGCCTCGGGACAGGGCCGATAGAAAGGTGAGCGGCGGCGCCGGGAGGGCGGTGGGGGCTGGAGGGAGGGAGGGCTGACGGCGCTGTTGTCCCCGCAGACAAGGAAGCCGCTGGTGGAGAAGAAGCGCCGGGCGCGGATCAACGAGAGCCTGCAGGAGCTGCGGTCGCTGCTGGCCGACAGCGAGGTGAGTGAGGAGGGGCGGCGAGGCGGGTCGGGCTGGTGCGGGGCGGCGGGGCCGTGCTGACGGCCGCGGCGCCCCATCGCAGTTTCAGACGAAGCTGGAGAACGCGGAGGTGCTGGAGCTGACGGTGCGGCGGGTGCAGGCCGTGCTGGAGCGCCGCTCGCTCGGTGAGTGCCGGTGGGGCGGCGGTGGGGCCCGGCGCGGCCCGGCCCGGCCCCGGCCTCACACTGCTCCCTTCTCTGTCTCCCGCGGCGCGCAGAGGGCGGGCGGCTGCACCGTGAGGCCAGCGAGCGGTTCGCTGCCGGGTACATCCAGTGCATGCATGAGGTGCACACCTTCGTGTCCAGCTGCCCCGGCATCGACGCCACCACGGCGGCCGAGCTGCTGAACCACCTGCTGGAGTCCATGCCCCTCAGCGACGGCGGCTGCCCGGACTCGGTCACGGACCTTGGGGCAGATCCCACCGCGCTCAGCCTCTCGCTCGGCAGCGAGGTGCTGGCCCCGGGCCTCCCTGCCTTGGCACCCTCACCCTCTCCCAGCGAAGAGATCTGCTCCGACTCGGACGAGGCGGAAGCCGAGCCGGGCCAGACCTCCACTGATGGACTGGATGCTTCCCAGACGCATGGCCTGCCTTCGCCTTGCTTACCCAAATCCATGTGGAGACCTTGGTAAGGGAAGGGTACCCAGGAATCGGCGCAGACCTACCTAGCGGGGAGAGCAGCCGGGCACTGTGCTGCCCTATGGCACTCTGAGCAGCGCGGGGGACTGCCGGCGGGCATCGCTGCACTTCGGGACTGCATCAGCGGCACTGTTACACTGTCAGGCCCTGACAGGCTAATAGCTAAACGCGTTAACATTTCATCCGTGTGCGTGTGTGGCGTTTTGTAACTTTAGGGGTTGTTTCTATGAGGTTGGGGGAGGGGCGGGGTAAGGGAGTTGGTCTTTAGTAGCAAAGCTCTTTGGTGGATACACAGCAGTTATTTTATAACCCTGTTTCTTGGCCCTTATAAGTGGCCGTGAAATCACTGCTTTTTTCTTAAGAAGAAGCCCTTGTGCATCTTAAATCATGATGGTTAACTCCATGAGAAGCTTGGGTCTGCATGCACAGTTTTAAGTGTTCTAGTGATAGCAAAGACCCCTGAAAGGGGTTGGTGTGGTTAGCATCTGTCCTTGGTAGCCTAGAGTCCCACCTTCAGTGAAGGAGGAGGAAAAGCTTAGAGACCTGGTGGAATTAGGCAAACATAAAAGATACCGGTGGCAGGGTGCCTTTTAGAGATGAGTGTCTTTATGCACATTTTGCTTTTAGCACAATTGAGTTTATTGTGACTTTTTGTATATTAGGGTGTCAAATGTTTTTTATTTTTAATCTTTAATAAAAAAATACTGAATTCAAAACTGATGCCAGGTGTTCTGCGGTCTGATATACTTCCAACTGGCTTAAAAGTACTGTTTCCTACTAACAAATGTGTGTATTATGGAAACAATGCTGGCAATTAAGCACTTAATTCCTGTACTAAGCATTGTTAGCTCAACTATTCGAATTCAAATGTTGCTTTTGCTTAATCCTCGAAGACACTTAAGTTACTGCAGTGAACAAGGTCATGCTGACAGAAGGTGGACTTAAGGCCCTGGGATTTTCTGGGCTAGTTTATCTGGATGCCAGTCTCAAACCTACTGTACTTGATCTTCCTTCTGAAGGTGTTGCTCATGCATCTACACAGCCCGAACTTAAGAAGTGCTAGGCACAACCTGCCCTGGGGCATGGCTTCACAGAGGTTGGAGGGTTATTTTGGTTGGTAGGAGTCTGGTTAGGTATTTCCGGTTGGTTTTGTTTTGTCTTTTGAATACAAAGTGAAATAAGAGTGTGCAGTGGATTTGTGAAGTGTTAAAAGCCATGTTTTTCGGGGGCTAGGCAGGGGACCCTCACCATTTTTGTATGTGGAGTTTGACGTTTCCCCTGTTCCTGCTTTTTTGGGGGTGCCATCTTATTTATGCTATCATAATACCTTGCAGAGAGCTGACACTGTAAAGAAAAAGAGGATTGTAAAGTTGCTTAACACATGGAAGTTCCTAAACACAGGACAAGCAAGAAAGGAAGCAACCCAACTACCAAGGGACTAGACATGTACCTCTGTTTTGTTAACAACCCTCTGGAACAATAAAAATGGAAACTAAGATATTGTGAAGACCTCTCCTTTGTAATTTTCTTCAAAGTGTTCTTATTCAGAGATGGCCATCAGATACGTTGGTTCTTCTCATCCCCTTTTCTGCTAAATTCCCTTTGAACTGGGGAAAGAACAGCAAAACCCAGTCGAGCAGGGGGAGGCCAGAGCTGCTGTAGTGACCTTCCTGGTTTAGGGAGGGAGGTTAGCAGTCTGAAGTGTAAATGAAGGAGGAGCCTGGGACACTTGCACTAAAAGTAATACCCTACACCCAAGATGACCTCTTCTTGGACCTCTCTAGCCTCAGTAGGAGACCAGGTTTCTGTTTTTAAAGCTACTTGCCCCATGTATCACATACTGCTTGATACCTCCCTCTCCACAATTAGCCCAGATAACAATACCTCACTGTAATCACCAAGGGAATCACACATTCCTGTGTGTCACACTGCTACACTAACACAGTCCTTTGCTTTTTCCCAGCTAGAAAATGCCCCCTTCTATAAGGTGCTCTCAAAAGGGAGGTAAAGCCAGAGCCTGTTTCCTTAACAGCAGCATCCCCAGCCTTGCCTGTGGCTCACAACTGCACTCATGCAATGCAGCATTGGGCTACACGTAGTTGTCCGAGGTGGCTGGCTTTGGGTGTGATGTGCAGGGTTGATCCTGCACTGGTGCAGCCACTCCAGTCCTGCTCCTGCAGGAACAGCCGAGGCGGCTTGGCTTAATTTCCATGAGATGAAAGACCCTGGTGTTAAGGCTCTTCTGTGGCACTCCAGTGGAAGCAAGTGCAAATCCTGACACTTTAGTGATAGAAACACAGCTAAGAGTCAACATAAGACATGCCAGCTTTGGTTCAGCAGTGAATGTGGGGTGGGCTGGCACCAAAGCCACCTTTACTAAGCAGTACTGCAGATGTGTTGCTTAATTTCTGTATTTGCCCTGGAGAACCAGCACTGAAGTTTGCTTTCCCCCTTTACCATTCCTGTGTGTATTGCTGATGGTGCTGTTCTTATCACACCTGGGGTAACCCTCACAGCTCCCTCCACATCTCATTCCCACTGCTGCAGAAAGAAGTGGGCAGAAGGGCTATGAACATGTGTAGCCATAGCTACCTGTATCCTCCCAAAGCCTGGATGGTTAGGAAAAGCCACAGCAGAGGGATAACAGGCCTTTCCCCTGAGCACTTCTCAGTCCTGTATTAACTGAAAAGAAACAGGTCAAAGCTGAAATATTAACAGGTTTTTTTAAGGGTCAAAATTAAGCATTTTAGAAATGTGTTTCTAAAATATGGCTGCTTGGGTTTGGGGGTTTTTAATCCACAAATTAGGTTCACAGAAAGTTTACATCCCCTGATGAGGTGTTGCTGGATTTCTCCATTTGCATTTCTGTACCTTACTGCAAAAGTGTCAAATCTGACACCTTCCTGACAAAGGCAGGAAGAGGTGAGCATTCTGGAAGTGGGACTCGGGAAGGGGCAGTGGGGAGAAAAAGGAAGGTTTCCAGCAGCTCTGATGAAAAAGCAGAGAAACCTTTTCAAGTCTTCCTTTATAGAAACTGCCTTTATTCTTCTCCACTCCAAAGTAATACAAACAGACTATCTGATCTGACAGTACACCACTTTGTAAAAGAGGAGAGGAACAGCACGCTAACAGGAGGACTTATTTGATATGCAGCAGCAGAATAATAGAAAGAAGGGCTCGCTTTCACCTCTCTGTGTATGTCACTCACCCACCTGTTGCAGGAGAAAACTGCTCCTTGTTATACCAGGTCACCTGGTAGTATTTATGGTCCAAACCTTCTCCTAACCTCTTGCCAACACATACCAGGTCTTTTGTTGGAGCCCTCAGGCCAGCAGGGAAGAATTAAGCTGTCAGACTGTCCAAATCAACTTATGTCTTTATCTCCCACTAGCAAGTATCATGTACTCTACGTCTACTCTGCTCAAGTATCATCCCCTCAAGTATCATGCTCTCTACAGAGCTTTCCTCTCCAAATAAATACATTTTTCAGTCTCTATTCAAATGAAACAAATAGAATAATAAAAACCCAAATCAGGCCATCCCTCAGCAGCAGGTTTAAGGGATGCACAGACAGCATGAGGGGAATTTCTGCTACAGAAAGTATGGATAGGACCTGGGAGAACACCATCTTGCTCCACAGATGGGCACAATGGTTTGAACAAGCACATGCAAAACTCAAGGATCCAAACCACCTGCTAATCCACGTGTCTTAACCAGAAGCCTATCCTCCTGCTTCCTGAGACAGGTTTTCATTTCCTGGCATGAGATGCCTGGTTCCAAGTTGCATTTACACTTTTTGTTACAGAGACTTCCTGACTCCACGGTTATCTGAAGGGATAGGGTCACTAAACTGTGTTCCTTAAGCCTCTCAGGCTTCTAAATGAACGAAGCTAAAGAGGAGCGGAAAAAAGTCTCCCTCCTTGCATGGGATTTTTAGCTTCCTATACAACATTAGCATTTGATTGCACTGCATTTTAAGAAGGTTAAGAAAAATTACAAACCCAAAGCTAGTGTAGAAAGCATGCAAACATGAAAATACACCTTGCAGCAAGACACTTGTAGCTTAATTTAGTTTAACAAGATGATGAGTGAGGGTGATTTGATTCCTCATAGTGCATCTGTTACATTATACGTATGTTATATTGCTCACTTAGCAGCTGAGGAAGTCATGGGTTCAAAAAGTCTTTTAATCCAATAAAACAGAGCCTTAAATGCCAAGAGCTATGTAGCAGGTCCAAGCTGTTTGAAATGAGAAGGAAAAAGATGGAAATTAGATACTGGAAGAAGCCATGAATTTCCTTTCTCTTAATGTCACCTGGTAAAGAAACACAGTGCAAATACAAGTTGCTTTGGCTACAAAAATAACCCTATAGTAAAACAACATACAAGCAATTATATCAGCTGATCTCTTCTGGCCTTCAGTGTAAAACAACCTCAATTTGGGTTTGTTTTTTTTAGCTTTTACGTTGATCTCAGGCTAAAATATAACTTGGAAGCAAGGTGAGTCGTTTTCTTTGCATCTGAGACCTAGGGCATCTGCAAACAGATAGCTTCAGGAATTGCCCAGGTTCATTCACTCTCAGCTGAACTCTGCAAAGCTCCAAGCCTATTTAAGCACAAAGTAAAGCAGCCTAACCTAAAACCACCATCAAAGAGGCATACTTTCAAGCATCCTTAGAAAGATGTGCCCATTGAGAGGAAAGGGAAATTACTGAGCAACACCCAGAGCCAGCATATCCACTCAGATGTGTTTTTCCAAATGGGATTCAGCTTCTAGTGGCTGACTGCCACTGCAGTCCTGCTGCATTTTGAGGTTTGGACTGTCCATGGCAGAGACACACACTAGTAAAACTGTAGAATTTCGTTCTCCTTAACCTAAACTGAGATCACCAGAACCAATCTGTGCTAAGCAAAGTCACTATAAAACTCCTTCCATTATCACCATGTAACAGCCTTTGCAATCTGTGTTCCACAGATGGAGAAGGGGAGGAAAAAAAAAAAGCCTACAAGAGACATCAACTGCATTATCAGCCCCATCAAACTTTTCTAACCATGTACTTCACCAAGGCCCAAATCACCTGTTTCTAGTGAATTTGCCTCCTTTGGGCATGCAAATGCTACCTGGTGCTTATGACCAGCCTTCATAAAACAAGGCTGCCCTCATTACTCACAGCAGACCCCCAAACATAGGTGGTACCTACCCACATATTGCTCCTTTCCATAAAGCAACATACACAGACTCCTTCCCTGCTCAACAGGCTCCCAAACAGACACCTGCAGAGCACCAGGAGTCCAAGACCATATTATACACATATGGGCCTGTTCCAGGTTCTAGCCTTCACAGCAAAGGATGGATTTGTTCTCCTGGTCAGAGAACAAATGTAAATGAATGCCCTCATCCAAAGGGAGCGCACAGCTTCTTACCCAATCCAGGATTCTGGAGCAAGTCTCTGCTGAGTAGCTGCTACTCTCAAGCCTCCCACTCACTGACCCCTTCACTGAATAGGCAGTTTCTTCATAAGCCAACACAGGTTCTCAGTGAAGTCTGTGAAAGCAACATACAAGTAAGAATGATCTGCTTCTCAGGAGCTCTGGGATGCCTGTGCAGAGTGCCCAGAATGGCCCGTAGCTCATGGAAAGCTTTATCTGAAGTGACACATAACTCGTGAACGTCTTCAACGTGCTTGGTCTCTAAAAGAGGGTTAAGACCCAGACGGCAC